TGAGTCTCTTAAAGTTGGAACGAGGCTTATAGTCCCAATTTGGTAAGCTTTAGGGGACTGGTGGGAGAGTTACCTGATGAGAAAGGTGGATGACAGCTTGTACAATGATGAGGAATTGTTTAGCAGATGATATGACTAGTGTTCTTTCATTTTGGAACAGGTCATTCAGATTCTAGGAGATAAGTTTCCATGTACTTTGGTGGCACAGAAAATTGACCGTATGTTTCTGTTTTGTTTCATTTTTAAAAAGTGGTTTGATTTCTCTGTCTTTCTGTGACCTGACTATATATATATATATATATATATGTCTGTCTGTCTGTTTTCCTGATAAGTGCCTGAGTACCAAGGAGAACCAGATGAAATCTCCATACAGAAGTGTCAGGAGGCAGCTCGTCAGGTACTTACCCTATTTTGTCCCCTATTCAGTCTTGTGGACTTCTGGGGCTTGTGTCTTATGGGAACAGGCAGAGAATAATAGAGGGGCCCAGTTTGTTGTGACTTCATAACCTGTCCAAGCCCAGTCAGACTGGTTTTAGTTGATGTTGGCCTTGAAACACTGCCTGTCCTAACTCACACCCTTCTGATTCTCTCACACATCCTTTCAGCCCTACATTTTCCCTCCACACATCCATCCCTGCTTTCACATATTTAACAAAACTGGGAAGGAGCACGTTATGGAGTCAAGCTGCCTGGATTATTCCTAGCACTTCCATTGCTATGTGTAGGGTAAACTTCGTCTTGCCAGTGCTGTGGTGTCCCCATTCCTAAATTGAAGATGAAGAGAGCTGAGCTATGTGACTCTTGATGGAGCTTTAACTGCAGATCTCACTGTTACCTAGCTGTAGGCTAGGCCCCCGCCTGAGTGGCCTGGGAGCTCAGGATTGGGATGAAGCCTACTTCTGAAACAGGTCTCAGGCCGTATGTCTTTGTGTTATAGGTGCAGGGTCCTGTATTGGTGGAAGATACCTGTCTATGCTTCAATGCCCTTGGGGGACTCCCAGGCCCCTACATGTGAGTATTCCTACTACCTCCCACCCTTTAAGACCTCAGCCACAAAACTGCAAAACCAGAACTGCAAAATGACTAGTTACATGATATTGTGGGTCATTCACTGTTTTACATCAACACCAGTGTTTCATTTATCTGAAGGAAGGACTAAGAATATCAGAGATGGGGGCTGGAAGGATGCTCAGTGGCTAAGAATGCTTGTCACTCAATCGTGAGGACCAGAGTTTGGGTCCCAGCACCTATGTCAGGTGGCTTAAAAATACCTGTAGCTCTATCTTCAAGGGATCCAATGCCCTCTTCTGGCGTCCTTGGGCACCTGCACACACATGTGAATATATACTCACACAGACTCAAACATGCACATAAATAAAAGAAATCTTGATATCAGAGATAGGTAGGGATGTAGCTCGGTTGGTAGAGTGCTTGCCTAGCGTATGTAAAGCCCTGGGTTCAACTCCAACCTTGCATATACCAGGTGAGCTGGTATGAAAGTGAATGCCTGTAATTCTAGAACCTGGGAGGTGAAGGCAGGAAGCTCAGAAGTTTAGGGTCGTTGGGCGTGGTGGCGCACGCCTTTAGTCCCAGTACTTGGGAGGCAGAGGCAGGCGGATCTCTGTGAGTTCAAAGTCAGCCTGGTCTACATAGTGAGTTCCAGGACAGCTGGGGCTACAGGGAGACCCTGTCTCAAAAAGACCAAAAAATAAAAAAGTTCAGGGTCATCCTCTGTTACAAAGGGAGTTCTAGGCCAGCAAAAGCTACATGAGATTCTGTTTTCAAAACAAAGAAACAAAAACAGACAGGCTTTCTTTCATAAGATGTGAGACTGTGACTGTATAAATGGAGATAGAGAAGGGGAACTTTCCCATTCAGAGGTGATATGATATGCTGTCTCAAAAAAAAAACAAAACCTAAAGCTGGAGCCCTGACTGCTCTTGCAGAGGGCCTGGGTCTGGTTCCTAGCATCCACATTGTGGCTAATAACCATCTGTAACCCCTGTTCCAAGGGATCCAATGTCGTCTGACCTCTGTAGGCATTGCATTATACAGGTGGACTCACATACATGCAGGCAGTACACTCATACACATAAAATAAAAACAATATAAAAAACCGAAAACAGTGACAACAAAAGAAAATTTTCATGGTTGGCTTGTCAAAGCCCACATATACAATTACACTTATAGTGTGCATTGCTCTACAGTCTCACCAGCACTGTTGTGACTTAAAAGATATATTTATTTATGTGTATGAGTGTTTGCCTGCATGTGTACTACGTGTGAGCCTGATGCCCAAAGAGGTCAGAAGAGGGTATCAGATCCCTTGGAACTGGAGTAGACAGCAGTTATGAACTGCCATATGGGTTCTGGGAACCAAACTAGGTCCTGTGCAAGAGCAACAAGTATTTTTAACTACTGAGCCATCTCCAGCCTCATAGTTTGACCTTAATGTTTTGTAATTTTAGGAAATGTGAAATGTTATTCATATGCTTTTTGTTTGGTTTGGTTTTATTTTGGTTTGTTTTCTTGAGAGAGAGTCTCACTGTAGCCTATGCTGGCCTGGAACTTGCTTTGTAGCCCAGCCTGACCTAGAACTCAGGGTAGTCCTCCTGCCTCAGCCTCCTAGGTGCTGAGATTACAAGTGTGAGCCACCATCCTTGGGTCTTTCACCTACAGTCTTAATTTGCATTTCTCTAGTCACCAGTGAGGTTTTAACCATTGTTTCTTCTGTGCACGGCCTGTTTATCTCCATTTTTTCCTATTAGATTCTTATCTCTCTCCTCTCTCCTTTCTCCTTTCTCTCTCTCTCCTTTCTTCCATTAGCTCTTTTCCCTTCTTTCTTCCTCTGCTATGGACAAATCCTTCCAAACAGCTAAGAGATCAAGCCTTTTACCTAGGAGAGAGTCATTCTCCTGCATGAGGTTCTAGATTTAGCAACAAAGGCTTCAAGATTTTCTGGGTACCAACCAGAAGTACAGGTGGGGATTAAATAGGCATTTCTACATCATCATCTTATGACTGGCATCTGGACCTTACATTTCTTTTCATGATGGGCCTTGTTATCTTAGGAAAATTCCTAATGAGTTTACTTGGTCATCATAGCTCACAAAGTAGATTTCTCAGGCAAGGGTCCCGACGTCTGTTATCTTTTGATCTATAGACCAGGCTAATTGGGCAGGAATTGGTCAAAAGGTCATTGCAGTTTACAGAAACAGATTATCTTCGGCAGAAATTTAGGTATCTGTACATGTTGGACTAATTGGACCAGGTGCCTCATTAAATCATTTGGTGAACTTTCATTCTTTTAATTTTACATCTTTAGCAGCAGTTGGACGTAGTGAGTGGAAAGTATCACAGAGCCTCAAGGTATTGCAGAGTACTAAAACATCCAAGAACAGCTAAAACATCACAAAGCAATCCAAGGCATTCCAAGGTTACGTTTCAAGGTACTTACCTAGTAAATGAAACATAAGAAAACTTTACATGGCCCACGATTACAAGGACTCACATAAGAACACAGTTAGTTATAGCCAGGCATGGTGGCAGCACTCAGGAGGCGAGGGAGGCGGATCTCTGTGAGTTCAAGGCCAGACTGGTCTACATAGTGAGTTCTAGCCCCGTTGGACATCACATAAGAACACAGTTAGTTATAGCCAGGCATGGTGGCAGCACTCAGGAGGCGAGGTGAAGAGAGAAAACTTGAAAAAGACTCAATGATTAAATGAGAGAATAATGCAAATACAGCTGACAAAGAAAACTAGCAGTATAGTAGTACCAAAAAAAAAAAAAAAAAAAAAAATTAGTTATAATTTGCCTTATCACTACTACTGAGCTAACTCCCAGCCTCTGAATTACTTATCTTAGCTTTGACTTGAGCCATTCTTCTTCATTTCTTTCTCCCTGCTCTGGAGCTCTGACCCCTGTGGGATGCCATAGACTCTGTCTGATAGAATCTGTCTCCTGCTGGCACTTGACTTTCTTTTTTTTCTTTTGCAGAAAATGGTTTCTGGAGAAGTTAAAGCCTGAAGGTATTGGTCTCATTATTTCTTCTCATGGCTCTTTTGGGAATTGAGAATCTGGGAGTAGTTCCCATTTAGTAGTCAAATGTTCCAGATAGCCACCCCCACCATTGAGTTCCACCGTTATCTCCATTTGCTCATCTGTAACCTGCAGCTCCCTCCCTATGCTCCAGAGAACAGTGAGATGGGGAGGAGTTGGTGACAGGTAGTCGAAGCTGTGAATCTGAGGGACAAAAGGGCTTTAACTGATTTTGGGACTAGTGACTTCTTATGGTTCTTTGCTTCAGCTGTGGTCTGGCCAGCATGGAGAGGGTACCTTCCTAGGCCAACCTGCATGGAGGGGCTACCCTCCTAGCCCATCCTGCATTAAGAGGCTAGTCTCCTATCCCAGCAATCTATATCTTATCACCCTTGAGTACATACCAAAATGTTCCCTCTTTAGGCACTTTAAAAAATGCTTTTAGGTGGCTGGGCGTGGTGGCACACACCTTTAATCCCAGCACTGGGGAAGCAGAGGCAGGCAGATCTCTGTGAGTTCAAGGCCAGCCTGGTCTACATAGTGAGTTCCAGGACAGCTGGGGCTACAGGGAGACCCTGTCTCAAAAAGACCAAAAAAAAAAAAAAAAAGAGAACATGTCTAGTGGTAGAATAGAACAGTGGCCAAAAATTACATACAGTCATTTGTCAATAAAGAACGGAGGGCTAAAGACTGGGCGTGGTAGTGCATGCCTTTAATCCCAGCAGAGGCAGGTGGATCTCACAGGCCAGCCTGGTCTACATAGGGAGTTTTTCGGCATCTGGGGTTACAGGGAGACTCCGTCTCAAACAAACAAACAAACAAAAAAACAAAATGGAAGGCTGGCGATGTAGCACTAGTAGTAGAGCACTTGCCTGGCATTCACAGGGCCCTGGGTTCAATTCCCCCACATGAAAGATCTGGGTTTGGTGGTATATGCCTGTAATCCCAGCACTAGGAGAGGGGGACTGGGGTGTGTGTGTGTGACTGCTGAGAATTTGTGGCCAACCTGAGCTCCATAGCAAGTTTGAGCCCAACTTTATTTATTGTGTTGTATTTATTTATTTATTTATTTATTTATTTATTATTTATTTATTTATTTATTTATTGGTCTTTTTGAGACAGTGCTGGGATTAAGGGCGTGTGCCACCTGGCTTATTGTATTTATTTTTATTTTTGTTGTGTGTGTTGCCTTGAGTTCAAGGCCAGCCTAGGCTATAGAGTGAAACCCTGTTTGAGAAAACAAAAATAAATAAACTTAGGAATTCAAGCATGCTAAATACTTTCTTTTATAAATTTTTATTTTTTGCATATTTATTTATTTATTTTGGTCTTTTTGAGACAGGGTCTCCTTGTAGCTCCAGCTGGCCTGGAACTCACTGTGTAGATCAGGCTGACCTTGAACTCACAGAGATCCACCTGCCCCTGCCTTCCAAGTGCTGGGATTAAAGGTGTATGCCACGACACCTGGCAAATTTTATTTTTAAAAATTTTATGTATATGAGTATTGCCTGCATATATGTACGTGCACTGCATGCATGCAATGTAGAGGCCAGAAAAGGGCGTTGGATCCCCTGGAATTGGAGTGACAGATAGTTGTGAGCTGCTATGTGGGTGCTGGGAACTGAACCTGGGTCCTTTGGAATAGCAGCCAGTGCTCTTAAGCACTGAGCCATTTCTGCAGCCCCCTAAACATATATTCTATCACTGAGCTATAACCCCACCTAGTTTATTTTTTTAAATAAAAATTTTATTTTTAAATTTTAGTCTATTTTATGTTTATGAATGCATTGCCTGCACACATGAAAGTGTTACTCATGTCATATAATGCCTGTGGAGGTCAGAAGAGGAGCCCCTGGAACTGGGAGTTACAGATAGTTATTAGCTGCCATGTGGGTGCTGGGAATTGCACTTAGGTCCTCTGCAAGAGCAGCCAGTGCTTTTAACTGCTGAGCCGTCTCTCCAGCCCCTAGGGTTTTTTTTAATAAAAAAAATTTTTAGGCAGTGTCTTGCCTTATTGCCTAGGCTAGCCTAGAACTTGTTATGTAGTCCAGGCTGATCTTGAACTCTCAATCCTCCTGCCTTCTGAGTAGAGATTACAGACATGTGCTACCATGCCTGGCTAAAAGAACATCCTTTTTTTCCTTCCAATCAGGGTTGGGGAGGGAACTCAGGACCTGTGCCTGCTAGGCAAGTGTTTTTGTTCTACTCTGAGCCACATCTTCTGTCCTTATCTATCTGTCCCTCCCTCCCTCCCTCCCTCTCTCCCTTCCTTCCTTCTTGTTTGTGTGTGTGTGTGTGTGTGTGTGTGTGTGTGTGGTATAGGCAGGAGGTCAACTTTAGGTTCCCTCCCTCCCTCCCTTCCTCTCTCCCTCTCTCCCTTCCTCTCTCCTTCCTTTTCTTTCTTTCAAGACAAGCTCTCACTATGTAGCCCTGGTTGACTTGGAATTTGCTATGCAGACCAGGCCACTTCACAGAGTTCCTCTTGCCTGTGCCTCCTCAATGCTGGGTTTAAGGTAGTTTGCACCACTATACATGGCCACACTGTGCACATTGTGAGGCCAGAGAACAACTTACAGGAATTCTCTCCTTCTGCCATGTGGGTCCCGGGGAACCAACTCAGGTCATCATAGTTTCTTCAATTTATTTTAATTAATTAATTAATTAATTAATTAATTAATTAATTAATTATATTTCTTTATTATCTTTTTGAGACAGGGCCTCCCTGTAGCCCCATCTGGCCTAGAACTCGCTGTGTAGACCAGGCTCACCTTGAACTCACAGAGATCTACCTGCCTCTGCCTCCTGAATGCTGGGATTAAAGGCATGTGACACCAGGGCTGGCTTTACTTTTGGTTTTTGAGACTGGGTCTCCCTATAGCCCCAAGCTGGCCTTGATCTCATAGAGATCTGCCTATCTGCCTTTGCCTCTGGAGTGCTGGGATTAAGGGCATGTGTCATCACTCCCAGTCTTACCACACTCAGCCTCACACTAATTTTCTGACTTAACAGAATCTTATGTCAGTAGGGCATGGAGATACATGCCTGTGATCTAAGTATTAGATTGAATCTCAAGTTCCTACACAGGGAAAGCCAGTCTCAAAAAACAAAAACAGAACCAGGTATGATGGCCTGAGCCTCCATGACCCAAGATTGTCCTCAGTTATATAACAAGTTGAAGAGTAGCTTAGAGTACATGAGACTCCAGTCTCAAAAAAAAAAAAAGGTGGTGGATGTAGCTTATTTGCAGAATGTTTGCTCATTGTACACAAATCTCTGGGTTCAGTCCCTAGCACCATGTAAACCAAGTGTGGTGATGGTAATGGTGGTGGTGGTGGTGGTATAGATCTGTAATCCTAGTATTCAAGAGATGGAGTCAGGAAGATCTTAACGTTCCAGTACAGCCTTGGTTACATAGTGAGTTCAAGGCCAATCTGGGGTAAATGAGGCCCTATCTTAACAAACAAGCAGAGAGAAGATAGTATTCTGAACCCTGAAATTCAAGAAGGCTTCATCTTCTTCTTGAAGGCTAGAATGTAACCCATGTAGCCTTCTACCTCCACACAATCCAATTTGGAGAATTACTCCATAGCCTTGGGCTGCAATAAGAGTAGGATCTGGACAGCGTGGATTCACTGAACTCTCATTGCACCTGTCTGCAGGTCTCCACCAGCTCCTGGCCGGCTTTGAGGACAAGTCAGCTTATGCACTCTGCACATTTGCTCTTAGCAGCGGGGACCCCAGCCAGCCGGTGCTCCTGTTCAAGGGACAGACCTCGGTGCGTACTTACCTGGACTCTGTACTGTGGGTCACCTATGAATGCTGTGATTGAGCATATAGTCCATGGTCTTCTGCAGGACAAAGTAAGAAGAGGCTAGAGTTACCAGGGACTTTACTAAAGTATGCTATGCTTGCTGTGAGACAAACCTGGATACCACAATTAGAATAATTGTCTGTCCCCAAAACTATTTGACACCTAGCCTTTTTTTTTTGGCCTTTTTGAGACAGGGTCTCCCTGTAGCCCCAGCTGCCCTGGAACTCGCTATGTAGACCAGGCTGGCTTGAAATCACAGTAATCTGCCTGCCTCTGCCTCCTGAGTGCTGGGATTAAAGGCGTGCTCCACCATGCCCAGCCCTACACCTAGCCTGTTTAAATTATTTCCTTATAATGTTCGGGATCTTTTCAATATATGATGTAATGATTCTGGTTTGGATTTGGATTTGGATTTGCTCTTTCTTTTATATACATGGACTAGGGGTCATTTTACCTATCCAAAGAAACAGCTCTTAGATTCAGTATTTATTTATCTTTTTTATTTGTTTTTATTTATTTGCTTTCTGTTCATTTTATTTCTTCTAGTCTTTTGGGTTTGGGTGTGGTTTGCTCATGCTTTCCAAAATCCTTGATTGTACAAAT